ACCTTCCCCAAGAAGTTTTATAAAATAAGATTTCTACTTTGCTTATTTAGTGTTTATATCCTATTTATTCACTGTTCAACTATGTTAATTAAAGATAAAATTATTGGTTATTGAGTATAAACAGAAGATAATTCACTTGGAACCGTTTTGTTTCATACCATCTTAAAAACAAAGGCATCAGATATGGAAATAGGCAGTTTTTTTTGTCCAGGAAGAAGAATCTGGAGGTAGGGGTGAGTAATTGAAACACCTCCCTGTAAATAAGCTTGGCATATAAACCAGTCTGTTTCAATCCCAGTTTTGTTCCAACTGTAAAAAATATATTTACTTTTATTAGCCAAAAATATTTTTACATGAAGGCATAGAGGGAAAAGAATAGATTGCTTAGTTGTTGTGCCTGTTAAGCTCTTTTGACAGCCATAGTTTTATTTTTTTATTTTTATTTTATTTTTTTGCACTATTTTTCCTGGTAAATTTCAAATTCTGAGGCATTAGTGATGTTTACTCAGGCTAAGACATGCTCCTGGTGTTGCCAAACTCTGATTTTATTCCTATTAGAATTCCAAAGGTTCCTTAAGTTTTTCTCATTCTTCTAACATTACTCTTACCACTTTCCGATATAAATTTAGATTTGGCCTGTTGGTACTGTGAAATTTATCATCGTAGTAGTAGAAAATACATTCATCCATGCTATACAGTAGTCTGTTATTAATGTATGTTTTGTACTGAGGTTTTCAAATTTTAATTGTGAGATATTTCTAGATAAATTTACATGTATTAAATTATTTGCTGCATAAATGGTATTTTATTCCATATAAAATATGTGTCTTTTATTGTAATATAATCTTTTCTTAGAGAATGATTAAGAACCTAACTCTTTAAATTTCTCAATTGAATGTTATAATTTAAGTAACCATATCTCCCAGTTTGTTGATTTATGCTTGTTTCTCTGGCTAATTATTAATAGCACTCTCATTCTAAAAATACATTATTTTTTAGGTTGAAAAATACATTACCTATCGGACACTCTAGTTATCAATACTAGGATACTCACTTTCTCTTTGCATTTCACATAGGATTTATTAAAGTTTCCTTTACCCTTCTTTCTTTCTTTTCAGTCTACTTCCACATACAAACATAGGGTAGATAGGAGAAATTTGTATGTGTATATGGGAGATACATGGAGTTAGTAGGAAACAACATGAAAGAATAATGAAAAACACAGTTTGGGAATCAAATGTTAACTTTATAAAAATATTTTTTAGGATGATATATATTCAGTTTTTTGTATTTTAAAACATTTGTTATAAAAAAACACATTTGTTATGTTGGCCAATTGGCCAACTCCCAACATCTTTCTCTCTTATTACAATTACATTTGATTATGCACTCAGTTTGGACTTTCAAAACTTGAGCTTCATTAGTTTATACATGCTACAGATAGCTTCTATCAATTTTTCAAGCATCTCTTTTGAAGAACATTGTATTCCTGCTATTCGTTCTGTAATTGTATTTCTGTTACATTTTCTAATGCATTTAACATTTAGAAATGGATAATTTATTAGTTATATGAAAGTTATTGTTTTATCTATGGCAAGAATACAATCGATCTGGTGTTTTATCAAACCAGTCTAATTTCAAATGAGCATATAATACATACTGTGGTCCATAAAAGCAAATGTATTATATATTCAAAGTTCTTTCAAGGCTTATTTTGATTGAACATCTATTTGGGCTATGAGGTGGTCATGTAATATAAATCTCATGATATCATAATTTCCCAAGGAGAAAACATCTATGAAACAAAGAAAATCTTAAGAGAAGCAGCATAGTGTGATTCAGAACACAGACTCTGGAGCCAGACTGTTTGGGTTCACCTGTGGGCTCCGTAACTGACTTGCTATGTGACCATAGGCTAATACTTAACCTCTCTGTGTTTTAGTCTTCTCATTTTTTTTTTATTTCAGCATATTATGGGGGTACAAATGTTTAGGTTACGTATATTGCCTTTGCCCCACCTGAGTCAGAGCTTCAAGCGTGTCCATCCCCCAGACGGTGCATACTACACCCATTATGTGTATATATACCCACCCCCTCCTCCCTTGTCCCATCTGCCTGACACCCGATGAATGTTATTACTATATGTGCACCTAAGTGTTGCTCAGTTAATACCAATATGATGGTCATAGTCTTCTCATTTGTAAAATGGAAGTAATGATACAACCTACATTGTGAGATTGTTGTGACAATTGAGTTGTTATATATAAAGTGCCTAAAACAGTTCCTGGCAACGGTAAACACTCTGTATGTTTGCTATTACTATTATTGTCAGTGGAAGAATACATTAGGTTTATCTCTCTTAATTTAAAACATGTGAATTGGTAATATTAAAGGAAGTATCTCTATCTTTACTCCTTATAAGGAATTAGACTGCTTTTTGTTTAAAGTATGTAGGTTGTGGACTGGATATGGAAGGTAGGGTACCTCTTAAGGATGATGGGTTTACAAACCCACAAACACCTATGAGAGGGCCTACTGGCAGAAGCCTCAGCTTCTAGCACTTTATTCATTTCAGTTTTCTCTTTCTGAATTACCTTACTTATTTGTTCTTCAGGGTTCAACTTAAATGTCACTTTTTTGAAATGTTTCCCTTTATTCACTTACTTCTCTCATTCCAATTAAAAATGATCAACTCCTTCTCTTTGTAGCCTTAACACAGCACTTATAGTTAGCTGAATGATATAGATTGTGGTATGATGAATGTACTAGTACCCTCTAATCATATCTCCTATGAGAAGCCCTGGTATTCTGGGTTTGGTTTTGTTCCTGTGTCTTGCTTTTATTTCTAATGCCCATTATTGCAAGAAAGGAAATATGGTTAAGGACTGAAGCCTCTCCATCTATCAGTTAAGCATTTATGCTTAATTAGTTCTGTAAATGTAACCTACTTGGAATTATACAACTGAAATAACATGTAAAATAATGAGGCTATATTTGAGAAATGAAAAATGAAACCAATTTATGATGATTTACTGACTAAAATATTTTGGTCATCTAGGAATTAAAATATATAAATGTTTAATATGCTTTTAGAATTTTATTCTGTCTACAAAATTAATTTGTATGTTTTAGTTGGTTTGATAATAGTAGAATATTTTTTAACGTCATTGCAATCAGGATGACATCAGAAAATACCAACGTGCCATTTTGTTATAGCTACTTTACAATGCACTTCCACTTAGATAAAAAGATCCAAAATTAATTTATTTTCTTTTTAATAGGAGTTACTTGTACTCCAACTTTATTTTATTTTTTAATTGACAAATAATAATTGTACATATTGAAGGATTACATAGTGACGTTTTCATACATATGATCTATAGTGGGCAGATCTATTATCTCAAACATTTATCATTTCTTTATTTTGGAAATATTCCAACTTTTTATAAAAAACTATTTTATTTTTGGCTTCAAACTGTTTTATTGGTGAATCTCGAATGGTTGGACATGTTTAAAATTTAAAAGTTATTGTTAGCATCACCATGCAAAAGATTGCATCTAGTACCAGCGCAGCAAGCATGACCACTACAGCATTTCTATCTAATATTCATTAGATAGATTTATTCAAAATGTGGGCTTTCATGATTCCCTACTGACATTCTCTATGAATAATAAAGAGCCAAATTCTAACATCCTATCCAAATCTTCATGGAGATAGGATGGTATGATATAGAAAGTACTGGCTTTGGAGTAAGACATAGCTGTATTCAAATTATGGCTCTTTAACACTCAAGCTGTGGAACTTGGGGCTGGGTACATAAGCCCTCTAAACTTTCATTTACTCAACTATAAAATAGGTTAGAAAATACAACATAAGGAATTTGTAGTGATTAAGTGAGCAAAATCATTTATTTGTATTACACTCTATCTTATAACTGTTAGAGAAAGAGATTTAAAAGAATAAGTGACTCTGAAAGAAGCTTACTGTTGGTATTTTTCTTGATCCAAAGTTTCACCTTGATTAAAAAACAAACACTTTAATCTTTGAAGGGTCATGCCTGGCTATTCAATCTCCTAATTAGTCACTGTTGTTACCTTCCAGCTTTTGAACACTTCCCTTAACTGACATTAAATGTATTTCTGTCAATTTCAGTTCCTACTATCATCACCACTATAGGTAGATGAGTTTTCTAATACCCTGTCCTCATACTTCCTTGAGCCCTACATTAATATTGACCTTCATCTCAGCTGTATTTTATTTAACCACTCTAATTGTCACACCTTGCCTTGTTACCAACTAAAATTCTGTTGCTGAAAGTACTATTTTGCCCCCAAATCACCATTCTCTAATAGCAATCTCTATTCTTTCACTTTGCTTGTACAACTACTTCATTTAATCTATTTGTCATCTTACCAGGGCCTCTAGTCCTTTGTCCCTTCTACTTTCTCCTAATCTTTCAGCCTTTTCTGTGTTCCTTTCTCTTTCCTGTACAACTTAAATTCCAAGGTCCACTATTTCAGCTATTCTTTTGCCCATATCCCAAACTTCAGTCACATCTTGAATCTCCTGATCTCCATAATATATCTTTCACTTAAAATATTTTATAGAACATTTATTAACTTTTGAAAACCTCAGTTTTCTTGTTGATAATATATGGGCATATATATTTGCTACCTCTCTAGATTATGGTAAGGATTAAATGAGATACTGTGTATATAAACTGTTTAGCCTACCCTTTGACCTATGTGGAGAGATATTGTGGAGAAAGGTAGCATGACATTTATGGATAGACCATGTTTGTACCTAGACTGCTGCATGCTGCTAGAGACACCAAGCCCGACAGATTTATATAATGTACACTTTGGGTCACCAACCTTTGTAATGAGTCATTAAGATTGTCAAATAATTCACCTCTGAATTTTTAAAGACACATTTATGCGTCTTTAAAAGGTAGATACTTTTGCATTTGAAATAACTGAAAAGTATGTTTCAATTTTAGAAATCTCCGAGAAGCAAGGGATAATGCTGTAGCTGAAAAGGACCGAGCAGTGATGGCTGAAAAGGATGCTTTAGAAAAACATGATCAGCTCCTAGACAGGTAAGCATCCTCAAAATAGAAATGTTAAAACTCTTTCCTTTTGTTCCTGTCACCTTCTCTTTTAGAACATATGTTTCTAATGGAGGTATAATTTTCATTTCTATTGAAATATAATTTATGTGCATTATTTTTATAATATGTAATTATTGTATATATTGAAAGCATGGTATAGAACAGTTCAGCCACTCCAGAGAGTTTCATCATGATCCTTTCAGTCTGTCTACTCCTGAAGAAGGAGCTCCTTTCTGATTTCTATCACCATGGTTTAATTCTGCTCTTCTTGGACTAAAAATACTTTTTGTACATACTCTTTTTTGTCTAGCTTCTTTCACCATACTTTGTTAATTGTATCAGTAGTTCATTCCTTAGTATTGCTGAGTATCAATCTTCCACATTTTATTATATTCACATGTCAATAGACATGTTTGTTTTTTCCAGTTTGTAACTATCATGAATAAAGCTGCCATCAACATTTTATGTAAGTTCTTGTAAGTGTATGCTTTTCTCGTAAGTGAATAGCTAGGACTGAAATTGCTAATCATAGGATATGAGTAAATGTTTTACTCTAAAACCTGTCAAACTTAACTCCAAAGTAGTTGTACTATTATATACTCCCCAGTTCATTTTTTGAAAATCTATATGTTCTAATGTGTGTGTGTTGGAGGGAAGATAAGAGAGAGAATTATTTGTCTTTAATTTATTCATAGGAAATGATATTTATTTTTAATAGCCTTGTTAAAAGGAAAATAACTGATGAGCATTAAATATCATTACCTCATTAAACACCCTAAATTTTCAATGGTTTGATTATATACAGAGTAAACAGAATGGCTACCTTATTTTAACTTTTTATTCTGAAATAATTTCAGACAGAAAAGTTGCTAAAATCATACAGAATGTTTCTGTGTACCTTTCACATACTAATAAACTTTTGAAATTAAGCCAATGCGTCTTTAAATTGTTAAATGAAGACCTGCAGATTAAATTGTGACTTAATATATAAAACTAAAATTTGAGGTAAGTCTTTATATAATTAACCAATTGTCAAAATCTTTTAGAATAGTCTAAATTCTTATACTTCTGAATTCATATCAACTTTATAAACTTTGTACATGGAGGAATTTTAATAAATGTAATATTAAAGAAGTCATTTCTATAATGTGGAAGTATATCTAATTCTAAAGATCATGTTATAAAATCAATTTATAAACCACCTATTTATTAGAGTTCTGTTAACACCTTTTATTTTTTATCTTTTATTATGTATAATCCTTCCATTTACAAATCTATATGGTGTCCACTAAAGATGTATTTGACTTTTTTTGTTCATGTTAGCTTTAAATGTGTATTTCTATGGATGAATAAATTTAGAGACAGCACTAGAATAAGATACTAGAATAAGATTTATGGGCAAACTAATGAGGTTTCAAAGAAAATAGAAGATTTTAGCTAGTAAACGAGAAATTACATTAGGATAAAATTTCATAACTTGCTAACTTTTGTATGTTTTTGTGAAGTTGGAGGGATTAAATCCGATCGTAAAATTGGCCAATTATATATATAATAAGCCCTGTAATATCCTACACTCTGACACCTAAATTCGTCCTATCCTACTTGTCCATACATTAGCAATTGATATTTATTCTTAAGGCTATGAGATACTTCAGTCTCTAAAAGTGTATTCTGAATCATTAAGGATTCAATCATTTAATGTTCATAAAGCACTTAGAACAGTGCCTTGCACATAATAAATAGTATAGAAATGTTTGCTGTGATTACTATTATTGTAGAATAATTTGTTTAATATAGTCCTGTTATGAAACTTTATTAAGTGAAATTTTTTTCTTCAAAAGTTAATGATGTCTCTCCAATGCATTTTCCACTAGAATATTGGATAAACTGGAACATGTCATTTCCAAACTGCTAGATAGAGGAATTTTGTTTATTCTTAATTCCTTGAGGTGACAGTAAAACCTTACTTATTCAGAGCCTAATTTTCAGCCAACCTTAAATGATAGTTTTGAAATCAAGACTAGGAAAAAAAGAGAATGGTTCTAAACATACTAGAAATAACCTTTGGGCAGCCAATAATGTTAATGCTTATGACTTTAAAGGACATTACAGAATGAAAGATTTATGAATGAGAATAATATCTGAGAATCTAAAACTCAAAATAAGCTTGGGCTTTAGTAAAATATAAGTATAACAACTAAAGGTGCCTATCTGGTTTTTGAGATGTGTTATCAATAAGTGAAGGGAAAAATCCGCTGCTTAGGGGTGCATGCCTGTGGTCCCAGCCACTTTGGAGGCCAAACCAGGAGGATCACTTGAGCCCAGGAGTTCAAGGCTGCAGTGAGTTATAATTGTGCCACTGTACTCCAACCTGGGTGACAGGGCAAGACTCCATCTCTTAAAAAAAAAAGCAGCCATGCTTATAGTGTTTTTTAAGATTGATATTGGAGAAAGCAAGTATCACCCAGAGTTAGGATGGATTCTCTAAGAATAAATCAAAGCAAACTACATTTGTATCCTTAATAAATATATTATGGGGTAAAGCATGGAAATGAAGTTCAGGTACAAATTATTTGGTAATACTTTCCATGATATTCTTCTAAACAAGATGGGAAAAATATGGTCACAATTCAAGATTAGGTAAATGGATTAGTAACTGTTGAAGGGCATTTACCCAGTGTTTTTACGGAATCATTGATAGTCAAGAGGTAGGTATATCATGGCTATATATAATACCCTGTAGTACAATATTTCTACATTTTTGTCAGTGATTTCAGTAAAAATAAAAACCACATATTTGGCAAATTTGATATAAAACAGAGAAGAATAACAAATTGAATGATAGAATGAGGCTCTAATAGATCTTTTCTGGCAGTACTAATGAGCTTAATGAATTTTAATAGGAATAAATGTAAGATCATGCACTGGGTCCAGAAAACCTATGATGGGATTATGGATTTAGAAATCTTTCATTCTGTAATGTCCTTTAAAGTCATAAGCATTAACACTATCTGCTACCCAAAGGTTATTTCTAGTATGTCTAGAACCGTTCTCTGTTTTTCCTAGTCTTGATTTTAAAACTATGATAAATGTGGAAATGACTTGGAAGGTTTCAATATGGAGATATTATCATATGGTAGTAGGAGTTACATGTAGAATATGGTCAGTAATTACTTTACCTATAGAATTATGCTGAGATCTGGGCACCCAACCTTTAAGCTAGACAGTCTTCAGAGGAAAATGACCAAAATATAGAAAGATTCAAGTGTCCTTTTAGTGCTAGATTATAGTTGTCAACTAATATTTGGAGGATTCACATGTAAAAGAGCTGGTTTTCAGACTTGACAGGACCTAACGTAGAACTGGGACCACTGGATAACCATTACAAGAAAGAGTAAAGATTAAAATAGGGCTTTTCAAAATGCATTTAATATATTTAATATATTCTCCATCAATAAAAGTGTTTGGGCATAAGCTGACCAAGCATTGAGTAGAAATGTACTGGTAAGGACTGAAATACCAAGTGAATAGCTTGATGAGTTTGAAGTTTCTTTTGATCCAGACAGTATCTGTGACAACAGCTTAAAAGAGTTAATACACTGGTTAAGTTACCATGCGAAATGAATGGTGAACCCAAACTAATTTTAAGGGTATTATTTAAAAGATTTCTACAGTTCACTTTTCATGTGTTTTTTTAAAACAAAAACCCCGTGGTTAAGACTATAATTTGAAAAGGACACCAAATATATGTGTGTGGGTATACATATATTTTTACATGTAGAAAAATATATATGTAAATATATACAAATGTATATAAATTCACTGAATTTCCTTTGAGTATAGATTGCATGTATGTTTAAACTCATTTTGGGAATATCACGTATATTTTTTGTATATAGTGAAACCCAAGGGAAAATATTCTTGTGTTTTGTTTTTTAGAGATTGAGTTTTTAATATTCAAATATGTGATTCTGGATTCCTGTGTATCAAAATCAGAATAAACAAATGTGTTTTAATCTTTACATGGAAAATGATTTCCCTGAATCATTCTTAAGTCTAGCCTCCAACATGCCTACAAGCAGTTTTCTAGTCAAGTATAGTTAATCTCATCTTTTTCATTTATATTAGAAGTTTTCTTTGTCAAATGCTTTATTTTATGATTAAACAACCTGTGTTCTTATAAAGAGAAATGCAAGGAAGCAGTGTGCCATTTTCAAACATGAATGAAAAAGGCTTTTTACTCAAAGACTTTAATTCTACAAAGGAAAGGACTTTTCTCAGGTATATAAAAGACCCATTATGTCCTAATTCAAGCTCAACAATTTAATAATAAGTAATAAATACCCAACTTTCATGATCATAAGCAGCTATTACCTCATGTTCTGTTGCTTTGGATGTTTGCATGGACTCTAAGGATTCTTTTTGCCAAAAAGAGGAAATTTTAAAATTTGATCAATCTGTGTGAGTTGAATACACTGTTACATCTGTGGGATACTACATGAGAAGCCTATATTTGAATCTAAATTATACCTTCTATTCTAAAGTAATTTTAATACTAAGTTTTTTTCAGTTAAGATTTGTTTTTAAAAACATATTCTATATTTTGAAATAATTTTCAATCTATAGATGCTTTTAAATGAATACTGCTTAAAATTATGTTTTCAATCCCCAGAACTTCTCTGGTAATGGTAGGATTTTTGTCCTCATTTTTTACTAGTAGAATACCAAAATAAGAGGCCATAGATCAGGTGAGTAGAGTGAGTGATTTTTCTTTCATACTGAGCTAGTTTAAAGCTTGATATAGAAACCAGCTGTCCTAAATTTCCATTCAGTGTTTTATCCCCAAAAGTAGAACAGTTTCAACGTGCCTTTTTCATATTTCTACGTACTTTTATCTTTATCCATCTTTTAGTCTGTTGCTACCTTCTTCAACAGACAAGGAGACAAGGAGGTGTTTGTGTCATTTGCAAGATAAACTTAATGGAATG